TTTTTACACTTGTGTATTTCACCTGGTCTGAAAGTGATCCCTACTGACTGAGCTAATCACTGTGCTGTGTTTCTGAATGCTGATGTTTGTTGCTGTTGGCAGGACTGGAATCTCCTGACCTGTCTGCAAAGTTAACTTTCACGGAGAATCTCTCTCATGTCTCAGCTCTGGTAGATGAAGATGAGGAGGAGGATGAAGAACTCCCTAGTATTCTATCTCATCAAGGTGAGGCATGAGTTTGTCTACTTGAAACTTAATCAGTCAAGCTTGGTGTGCCTTTTTAGAATGTGCAGTTCTGCCTTGCTGACCAAGTTACGGCAATTCCTGTTAATGAAACCTAATGTTTTCAGAAAATGAATCCAAATTTGTTCAGGCTTGGATTAAAATGCCTTTCTTAAGTGCCCCAGAAAGGCTTTCAGGAACGGAAAAAATTGCAACACATTGTGAAACTGGGTCTGAAACTTCAAAGTTCTTATATTCAGAACTGCCTGTGCTGTGTTTGGGCTGGGATGAGGTGTTGAGGGCGTGTGGTTGAGGGGTTGTCACTTTGGTTGAAATCTGTAAAAGCACTGAAGCAGAACTCATTAAATATCAACTGCATGAAAGGAGGCTAACAAGATGAGGCGAGTTAACTGTCTTGTCTGTGTTTCCTTTTAAGAAAAGAAACTCTATTTTCTCATTGTAGAGCCACAATTGATTGAGGAAGGGATTTTGGTCTGGTGCAAATGGCAAAGGTATCCTTATTGGCCAGCAGTGGTAAGTAAGAACAGCTTGCTGCCTTATCTGAGAGTGATTATTGCCAGATAAAAACAAGGATAATAACAGAAGTAAACTTATGTATGATAAAAGCACATCAAAATAATGAAATGTGGCCAGTTCACATTTTAATATTGGAGCAGAGGTTTCCTGCTTAGCTTTTATAGCCTGTGTCATCCGTTGGTGTGGTTGCATCCTGCTCTTAAAAAAAAAAAAAGTGAGAAAGGGATGGGTCCTTGCGCACTAACAAAAATGCTCCATTTGGGTACTTTGCTCTTCTTGCCACTTTATTTTTCATATTTATGTAAGTTGCTTTAAGTGTGGGGTGAGCTCATTAACACTGAAAATGTTCATGCTTTGTAAGGGTGTTAGAGCTCTAAGATGCTGATGAAACTTCATCCTTTTAACAGGTAAGAAAAGTGAAGCGGAAACACAGAAAGGCAAACGTGCTGTTCATAGAAGGGAATGTAAATGAAAAAAAAAAAGGGTAACTATGGATTCTGATCGGGTGCTGAACTCTGGGTTTGTTAGGCAGTCTCCTGAACTCTTCTCCTGTTACTGGGCAGTTACAGTCTGTTAGAACTAACCTTGATCTCAAAGGGAGTGACCAAGTAAGGTGAGGATTTGCAGGTGTGGGCTACTTGTTTTTACCATGCTGCCAATTGAGGCATGCTAACAGTTGGCAATTATGTGAGCAATAAAGTGTAAAAGGACTGAGGACCTAGCTATTGTTTTTTCATGTTGGGGTGAGCTTCCTGCAGACATCACTCTGCCTTTGCATTTGCTTTAAAATTTAAAAATTCCTCAGTTTTAGCTTGCTAGAAATCCAGAACTAGTAAAGCCTAGTTTACTGAATTCCTTACGAAACCTGGTTTTCAGGAAGGTGTAGAATCACAATGAAGAAACAACTGCACAACCTAATTGCCTCTCTTCCCTGTCTTTTTCTCATCAAGCTTCTCAGTATCTCTTAGGAGTCTGAAGCACTTTGATTGCGAAGAAAAGCAGGATCTCATTGTAAGTGTTACCAGTAACATGCAATTACAAATGTATACAAACACTGGAAACAGTATTTTTGTGCAGTGTGTAGCTTACCCTGCCAGAGGAGTGTTGCAGCTGACGGGTCTGTTTGCTCACTGTTCTCTGAGAGATGCTCGTCTACTAAACAGAGTAATTAAATGTAACTTGTACTGCGCAAAATGGAGAAGAATATGGGAAAGGGAACCTCCTGATGCATTTCTCCTCCTTGATGAGGCCAAGGATACTGCTAAGAACAGGTTTATGTGGAAGGTGGCCAGTTGCTTAGGACTCAACTGGATTTTTGCTTGTGGGCTTTCTACATACAACAAAGCCACTCTCATGGTGCAGTTAACAGTAATTACAGGAATTAAATTGAAGGGAATGCAGGAAACTGCAAGCATTTTCTTGATATGTTACCGTTAGCCATTTTTGCTTACTGGTCCTAGACCTAAAAGCTTCATAAGGCTATTCTTTTTTTGAACTGGAAATGGCCATTGTTTTACAGGAGCAAGCCAAAGAAGAACATCGCCAGGAAATTGAGTGGTGTATTCAATTGATCTCTGACTATCGAATTAGAGTAGGTAAGGACATAGGTTGATGTCATCCATTCTGATGTAAATCAAAAAACAATAATGCAAAGGCTGTCAGTTTTTGTTTTATAGGCTTAACTGATTAATAACCCCTGTTCTGGGCTTTTTAGGTTGTCATTCTTTTACGGGATCCTTCTTGGAATATTTTGCTGATGATATCAGTAAGTGAATTCATGATGAGATTCTTCTGTATTCCTCTTAGAAGAGAAGCTTAGCTCTAATGTTTACTAATGTGTTGTTAAGCATCAAACCTGGTAGAGTTTGATTAAAAATTAAAATAATTACATGCCAATATGCTGTAAGATTTTTAGTCCTACAACAAAAGTTAAGTATTGATTGTTAAAAAAACAATTGAGTTATTTCAGATTGTAGCAAGTTTGTTTCAGAGATCATGTCAGGTTCAATTCCTTTTTTTGTTGATGTTTTTTTCCCCTACTTGGTGGGGGAGAAAGGAAAAGAAAACTACCAAAAAAAAAAGCTTATTTTGTGTATGTATGTATACAAGAAAGACCCTTCTTTTATATAAATGAGTGTGAATGATTGTGGCTCCTTCTTTTTTCAGGCTATCCAGTTAGAAAGCAGTGTTACCAAGGTTTAGTCCAAATGACCTTTCCAAACGTAGCAGAAGAAAATCTCGAAGAGTCTTTATTAGAAACTTCACCTCAGAAGCCTTCTAAGAAACTTCTTCCTGACAGAACAAGGGCTGCCAGAGATAAAGCAAATAAAAAGATAGTGGAGTTCATAGTGAAGACTAAGGGGGCAGAAGAGCATCTCTTGGCTATTTTGAAAAGCAGAAAACAGTCTCGGTGGATGAAGGAATTCCTGAATTCAAGTCAGTATGTGACCTGCGTTGAGACTTATTTAGAGGATGAAGAACAATTGGACCTAGTAGTAAACTACCTGAAGGAAGTATATCATGAAATAGACACCGAAAATCTCTGCCAAATAAATGGAGACAGAATAAAATTTATTTCAGATGTCCTGTTGCCTGAAGTAAGTAAACATTGAACACTGAGTAAAGTTGATGTTTAAATAACATGAGTTATGTGACTTGAATTTACTGATTTATTGACAAATGTGCTTGTATGTTGGAGAAAATTAATAAGTAAGGCCCAGCATTCACTGCACGTGTCCTGTTGGTATCTACTGGGTTGTGGCTGAGATGCAGACCAGGGTAATTCCAAATGCTGGTTTTTAAGCCACTAGCTTAAAAGTGGAAGCTTTACATGTTGCAATGTTTTTAAAGGCAAATGATTGCTTTTTGGTATATTTTCACTTATTTATAGATTATTTTTTTTTCCATCTGACAAGTTAGCTGGGCTTTTCCCGGTGGTGGGATTGCTGGCAGAAAGGATAGTTTTACTTTTAGTTACAGTTTTAGATATTTATTGCTTTAGATGGGAACTTCCCAGGGAAAGGTATTAGTAAGAATCTCTCTTCTGTAGAAACAAAATTGCTGTTAAGAGTATCTTATTTTGGTTACAAAAATAATCTCCTGGGCCTGCTAAAGGTCAAGTTTGTATTATTTAACAGGTTTGGGTACACAATAAGCAGTTCCACCCAAGTTTCCAAAGTGATTAGGAAATCTCATTCCAAAAATGTGCTCATCTACTGAGGCAGTGGGTGTAATTTTGTAATTTAGTTCTTGTTTTGCCAGCATAAATGAGCTAAATATTCTTTTATAGGCCATCATTTATGCGATTTCTGCCGTGGATGACATAGACTACAAAAAAGCAGAAGAGAAATATATAAAAGGACCATCTGTGAGCAAAAGGTATCTTCTTATTCTTAGCATTTTCTGAGCTTTCCTTACTAGCTTACTGTTTATTTGGAAAAGTGTGAGTGAGAGTTCAATAGCCTCCCTTCTGTAAGGCAAACTTACTGTAACTGTGTTACTGTAACTAAAAGCAGCAAAATTTTTAATACACTAAGATTGTTTTTGCAGCAGAACTTTAATGTGTTTCTTTTCAGGGAGAGAGAGAAATTTGATGAAGAAATTCTGGAAAGAAAAAAGTTGAAGACAGAATTGGAATCTGCAGACAGCCTATGAGAAGGGTGGTACAAACTTTCACGTGTTGCACTGGCACTGTATATATTGGAGAAGTGATTATTTGTATGAAAATATCATTCTTGCTTTTTAAAATGCGTGTAGATATCATTAAAATGTGGTTGTTACAATGCTGCATTACTGTCAGATATGGTCGTATCAGTCCTTGCTGCCTCCTCTGTGTACTGGAGCTGTGCGCTGCTTCCCTTTGTCCTGCCGTGTTGAACTGCCTGCAAGAGGTGATGTGAGCTGCAGTAATCCTGCAGATGTGCTGCCAGTCTGTCCTCATCCAGCCAGTGCACTCACCACAGGATGTACAGGAACACAGCAAGTGTTTTGGAGAGCTGCTCGATGCAGCTCTTTAAGTCTTGTGTGAATTACTGACCAAATATCTGACAAAGGAAGGGCTATTGTCCCCGGAAGAATATGTACTGATAAATTATGTAGCCTTGTGTTATTGCTTGGTTACTTTGCTGCTACCTGTATATGCACAGATTTTCTGCCCAAAAGTGTTTTTGGACAGTTTTTTTTTCTTTGTCTTAAAGGTGTGGGAAATAAAATTGGTACCTACTTATGCAATCCAATTCACAATGGCTTTGTTGCTGATAGAACAACCGCAGCATTCAGTGGAAAAGGAATCCAGTGTTTGAAAAGAAAAAGCCTTTGCAAAAGCCTTTGCTTTGCCATTTTTAAAAGTGAATCTCTTTTGAATGCTATTTTAAAAATGTTTGATTCTCGGTGGTTTTTCAGGAACACTTAACTGTTTTCATCTGATTTAAATGCCAAGTTTAATCAGGCGTTGTTACCTCCCTCAGCTTGTGCTGAAATTCTGACAGACCTGTGGCGTAATCGATAACTGTTTAGTGACGGAAGCTCAGTGACCATTATTTTTGTGTAATACAGTCAAAGGGTGATACACTCGTCCAGTTTTTTAAAAAAAAAAAAAAAAAAAGGTTGTTGAAATTAAAGGGGGGAATTTAAATGTGAAATTAGATAGTGATATATATTCTGGCCATAGTAATTACCTGAGTATATTTTAATTGCTTTTAATTACATGGTACTCTTGCAATCCTTGTGTTGGCATAGCAAAGTGACATTCACAAGTACCGGAATCATGTAATAAATATTGAGATGGGCTTTATTTCAGTTTTCATTAGAACTTGTGTTGGTGGATAATGCATCTCTTGTATTTGTGATAGCTCAATGCAGTTATGGAATCACCTCCAGAGGTGATGCCTGCGAGTGGAGGTGTCTTGTCACGTACAGCTGCTTCAGGCTGCATGAGCTTCTTCCCCAGAAAAACAAATGCTGCTGCAAATACACATCCTGCAGGCGCTGTTGGTGGGGGTTCAAAGAGATCAAACTGTCCTCAGGTTCCTTCTTTATAACATTCCCCAAGTACTGCTAAGATTCTTTTTCAAACCACTGCACAGAAATAAAATTCTGCCTTCCTTGCCTTTACCTGAATCTTCGCTTTTCATACCATCTATCGCAATCTTAGCTGGATGTTTAAAATGAGAACTCGTCTGTGTCAAATAAAATTGCATTCTTCTGAAGGACAGAGCTAGGAGTGTACATAGAGTTTAAGCACTTTAAAATGTTTACATCTTTAAGAACACTTTTAACATCTTGGCATTGCTTACACTATAAATACTCATAGATTGAGACCAAACTCACTCTTGCAATGTATGGTGTTATGTGGTCTTAACTAACAGTGGTGGAATAAAGAAGTAAATCCTCAATAGTTTCCTATTACTCTTGCTTGAATGCGTTCATTTGTTCCAAACTGCTTTTAAGCTGGGGTGGTAAGTGCACGCAGGCTTCTCCTTGAAACTACAGGGTAGGTGAAGATGGTTTTTGGATATCAGATTTACTGAAACCTGGTGCTACAGTTATCAGTTTCATGTTATAGAATAAAGTAAATTTACTTTTTTTTTCTGGTATTGTGCTTTAAATAAATCATTCACGTTATCCCTGCCAAGGACAGGGTCCTCGTTAAGGGTTTTGGTGTGGTGGAGGTGGTTTCCTTCACCTGAACTGCAGCTGTTTAGCGTTCAGTGTGCTGATTCCAGCAGCTCTGGGGTGTTCACGAGGAGGAAGTTTTGGGGTGCGATGCATTTACCAAACCCTGAACCTCTGCGATTGCAGCCGCAGGGACTCGGAGGCTGCCTGGGGCAAGGCTCTCCTGCACGCGGGGGTGGCTCTGGGGAAATAAAAACCTGTGTTCGTGTCTGCTTGGCTAACCCTCAGCTTTCCTCTGGCAGCACGAACGCGGAGAAACCAAAACACGAAATTCCTACCCCAAAATGAGACGAGCTGCCGAAACCCGGGATCGAACCAGGGACCTTTAGATCTTCAGTCTAACGCTCTCCCAACTGAGCTATTTCGGCTGCTGGCAGCGCCGTCCCCCCCGCCCCCCCCAGGTACCTGTGGAGGGGGGGGGGGTCCCGGGGGTGGGGGGGGGTCCCGGTTCGGCCGGTACCGGCCGAACCGGGACCCCCCCCCTACCCCCGGGACCCCCCCCCAAGGGGGTGCCCACAGGAGCCCTGCACGGGGGGGGCGGCGGCATCGCGGTCTCTGTGGCGCAACCGGTTAGCGCGTTCGGCTGTTAACCGAAAGGTTGGTGGTTCGAGCCCACCCAGGGACGCCCCGTGATCTTTAATTAATTAATTTTATTTTATTTTATTGGCCCTCCGCCTACGTTTTTGGCCCTGCCGCCCGCGGAACCTCGCCGCCAAGCTCCCGGTTTCCCGGCCGGCTCTCCGTGAGGCACGGACCGGGCTGAGGCCGGAGGCTTTAACGGGTGGCACCGCGCGCACAGAGGTTGCCTCAAGGGCTGAGGGCGAGATGGCGGCGCTGGGCCGTGAGCGGGGCCGGGAACGGGGAACGGGGCTGGGAGGCCGGGATCCGGCCCTCTGAGGGGACACCGGGACCGGGAGGGGGGAACCGGGGCCGGGTGGAGGCCGCTGGGGCCTTCGGTTGGGCCCTGACCAGGCTGGGGGGGGGGGCTCCGGGCCTGGGCCCTGGGGGCTCCCGGCCCCCCGGAGCCGTTTCCCGAGGTTGGGCCTTTCCCCGTTACCCGGCCTGGCCCGGGGCTGATTTTTCCCGTGCTCTCCTTGCAGGTCTCGGCCTCGCTCGGCTACGGCGTGCTGGCCCTGAGGTGAGGGCTGGGACTGGGAGGGGGAGGGGATTCAGGGCAGGGAGACCCCAAGTGTCCCCCCCTCATCGCGGCTGGGGGGTCCCAGGGGCTGTGGTAGCAGGGGGGAGAGAGCTGGGAGCTGAAATTGGGCCCTTTTGGGCTCTTTTTTCTTCATGGTTTGGATCAGGGGCCACTCGGCTTCCTGGGGGTGTTTGTCCCTGCAGGGCTGAGGTGGGGGTGGCAGGGGAGGCGTGGGGAGGCTTTGTGGCTCTGTGGCACCGAGGTTCAGCGTTTATTTATTTTTATTTTTATTTATTTTTACAGGCCCAGCGCGGTGACATCTGTTCACAGCCAGCTGCTCCATCAGACACCGGCAGCTGACCATGCTGACAGGTAACGCCGCGCTTCAAGGCAGGTTCCTCAGCTGTGTCCTTTCTCCCTCAGCTGTGAAGGGAAGAAATGTTGATTGCCACGGCTCCCCCTGCATGTGCTTCAAAGGCTTTTCCTCACCTCACCCTTAAGGCCCAGGATTAGCTGGCAGGCTGCGAGCCCTGGAGAGGAACCTGCCAGGCACCCTCTGTGATTTCAGTAGGGTGAACAAAAGGACCTCTTCCTGATCCATGTGTCCACAGCGGGGGAAAAAGAACTCTTATAAACAGCCTGCAGTGGTAGCAGAGGGTTTGGGATTGTCCGTAAGCAATGCCCCATGGATTCTTTACGGGATGACAGCTCCTTGAGTGTATTTATTGTATTCTAGAGCAACACTTAATAATCACAGACTGACACTACTGTGCTGTTTGCTTTTAGTTCTCTCCAAGTCCAGCAAAAGAGCTCAGCTGTTGTCCAGAGAAAGTCCTACGTCCCCTCTAGCAGGGGGGAGTATGTTGTCGCCAAACTCGATGACCTGATCAACTGGGCACGAAGGGTGAGTCGCTGAAACTCTTGTGTTTGCTAAGGAGAAATGGTATCAAGTGCTGCGAGGTGCTGGTTGGAAATGGATTTGTGCCATCTGCTGAGGGTAAAAATAGGTTCCGAATTCTTCAGGCTCCGCAGGAAGAATAGTCAGGTTTCTTGGCCAGAGGTTGACATTTGGGGAGCTGTGTCAGTGTGGGAGAGAAGCGCTCAGAGGGCACTGCGAAGTGGTGTGAGCTGCCTGTCTGACCAGAGCTGGCTGTTAATAGGCAAAAGGCATCTTCTGGTTCTGTGCAGTCCTCGTGATGAGTCCTCTGCTCTGTGCAGAGGAGAAGCTGTGGTTTTGCTCTCCTGTTTAACGGTGAACACTGCTTTCATTTATGATGCTTTAATTAAACAAACCTTAAAACCTTTCTCTTCTCGTTCTGTTTCCTTCTCTGTCCAATCAACCCTGAAAGTCCTTCACTCTGTGAGTCACCCACACGGGGTTTCACCTCCTGCTTTCAGCGTTCCCCCCCCCGTAACCCAGGTCTCTCCTGCTCCAGAGCTCCTTGTGGCCGATGACGTTTGGCTTGGCGTGCTGCGCCGTGGAGATGATGCACATGGCAGCTCCTCGCTACGACATGGACCGCTTCGGGGTGGTTTTCCGCGCCAGCCCCCGCCAAGCTGATGTCATGATCGTGGCGGGCACCCTGACGAACAAAATGGCTCCGGCTCTGCGAAAGGTACGGACGCTGGCGGGTGCCTCAAGCGCAGCTGCACGCAGGTGGGAAGGGGTCTGAAATGTCTGTGCTCTGCAGGTCTACGACCAGATGCCAGAGCCTCGCTACGTGGTCTCCATGGGGAGGTAAGTGCCAGGCTGTCTCTGTTGTCCACCCCGTTTGGTGAGGGAATTCAGGTGTCTCTGCATGTGTGGGGAGATGTGAGGGGAACCCAACCCTTGTTTGTATTTCCAACCCTTTAAATTTTATAAAGAGGACCAAGAGGCTTTGTTATTAAAATAGATAAAGATTCTTTCTTGATTAGGAGGAGGAGAGTAACTGCTGTCTGGTCACTGTGAACTGCAGTCTCCCCAGTGAAAGATTCTTTTTTGTTTTTTGCAGCTGTCAGAGTCTGGGGACTTTGAGAATTTCAAAGTCTCCGTTTAGACTAAAGCTTTCAAAATGCTTCTGTTGTGCAGCATAAAATATGAGGTCTGTGGAGCTCTGGCTCCATGAATCCGTGGTGTTGGCTTAGTGGAATTGACTTCTTCACCTCCTGGTGAAGGTCGAGGTCAAACGTTTTGCAAGGGTGCAGAGGGGACAGGATGAGTTCTGGAAACACTTGGCTGTAGATGTGGCAAAAAAGGGGGTTTGCAGTGTGGGGAAAGACCCTCTGAATATCTGTTTTGTTTTGTAAGAGCCATGAAAATGGTTCGGTTTGGTTTGATTCAACTTGAAAGGTGGCTGTGAGCACAGGCTCTGCCTTCCAGCCAGGGCTCACAACGAGGACACAGCTCCTGCGTTCAGCAGCCACGGTACAAACCTTGGCATTCAATTACTGTAAAATCTATAACTGTCAGTGGGCCTCTTGCCTCACAGCAGCTTGGACGCCAGGTTAATGTTTTCCTTTGCCTCCTGCTAATGTTTCACCATGCGTTTAACAAAGCCCTGACGTCTCTTGCAGCTGTGCCAACGGTGGGGGTTACTACCACTACTCCTACTCGGTGGTGAGGGGGTGCGACCGCATTGTGCCGGTGGACATCTACGTGCCAGGTAGGAGAGGCAGCCTCTGTGTGCCACAGCACTAACTCAGAGCAGGAATTAAGTTAATTTTAGTTTGAGCAATGGGTCTGAAAATCAGTGGGAGAATGTGAGCCATCTGCCTGGGCAGGTGGGGATTTGGGGTGGGAGAGCTCTTAGCCAGGACCTGCTGGGCAGTGGGAGCTAACAGACCATCGCATCAGTTTCTTTAAAACTGCATTCTTCTTGCTTTTATGAACTCTGCAGCCTGTGACAGACACAAAGCCAGAGAGAAATCACAGCCTGCTTTGGGGCAAAACCTGTAGCTTTGTTGATTCTCCCAGTGACTACATTTCAGTACAGCTGGCAGCCCCACGGGCTTCCTTTTTCCCTCAGGTTGCCCACCTACGGCAGAAGCTTTGCTGTATGGAATCCTGCAGCTTCAGAAGAAAATCAAACGAGAGAAGAAGATTCAGATCTGGTACAGGAAATAGCCTCTTATTTATGACCTACCCACTTACTGCCCACCGGGGGCACCTGCTTGCTTTCTTACGCACAAAACAACAAGTATTGTCACAAGCCTTCCAATAAACCAATACGTGGTTAAGATGTTGTTTTGTCTTTAATGTATCACTTATCCAAAGTGCATTAATTTGTTTAAAAACTGAATTACAAAAAGCAGTTGTCTGGGTGAAAGAAATCTCTTCCCAGGAGAGGGGACACCTGAAACCTGGGTCTTGCAGGCTTTGGTACTGGAATGCGTCTTAGGAGCCTGGTGTGTCGGGCTCCCAGCAGCTCAGGACAAGGAGCAGTCACTGTAGAATTACGTGTGTGCTTGGAAAGACAAAAATAAATTGCTCAGAGGAAGCAGTTGTGTATTTCATTCTGTTTTAATGGGTTTTATCCCCTCTGGGTAGAGAAAGGAAACATCATTTATGCGCTATTGAACTGCAAGAGGGTCAAAAGAATCAGAACTTATTACAATAGACATTAGCCAAAAATATGAGGAAACTTCACTGGGAAGTTGCTTCGGGAGCAGTTGAAATCCAATTCTAACAAATCTGCCTCAAACTGCCTGGTTTTCCCCATTTCTCCTGCCTTGTTTAGATTATTTGGCTCGAGCGCCGGAAGCTACCCCATGATTTAAAAAAATGATCGGTATTTTAGAGTAAACGACTGCTCCAACCCCTGTGGCTGAATGCTCGGAGCCAAGCTCTTGAATTGCTGCTGAATTGAGGGATGGGAGAGGGGAGCAAATACGCGCGCTCCTCGGTGCTTCATCAGCCGCTGCTCTTCCTCCTCCTCTTCCTCCTGCTTCCCGGGGCTTTGGGGCAGCGCTCAGTGCTTCACCACGCTGGGGGTGATCATCTTGTGGAAGGAGTAGTACCGGCAGTCCTTGGGGGGGACGAGGTCCATGACCGTGGTGCTGATGTTCTCCTTCTTGAACCCGGCCTCCACCAGGTGCGGAACCTGGGTCTCCTGCGAGGGAAGAGGGGCAGGGGGGGAGCAGCGATGCTTTGAGCTCTCCGGATGCCACCGAGGTGGTGCCAAGCCCCAGCTCCTGCTCTGTGGGGTCGGGAAGGCTGCAGGGAGCCCCCCTGGGACCTTCTAAATGCTCCTTGCTGAGCTCCCAGCCCTCGCAAACGAGTTAAAGAGCCACGAAATGCCCTGGTTTGTGCTGCTCAGCGAGTCAGGACAGCACCAGCGGGGTGCTGGGGGCAGCTTTGGGGCCCCCCCAACCCACTCACCTCAAACATCTTCTCGATGTCGGTGTACTTGGTCTTCAGCAGCTCTCCCCAGGAGGTGAGGTTGCAGTAGGTGAGGACCCCGCCGGGCTGCAGCAGGCGGAAGGCATGGTCCTGCGGCACAGTGGGGGGGGGGTGAGAGGTGCGGGGCTCAGCCCCCCCGGACCCTCCCCAGGGGCTGTGCCCACCGCAGTACCTTGATGAAGGCGAACTGATGCGTGTGCCAGGTCTTTGCCGACAGCGGGTAGGTGTCGTACAGGATTCCTGCATGGGAAAAGTGGGAAAAAAATGAGCTGTTTCTACTTTTTCCCCTATTTAAATTTGCTCCCCGTGCCCCTGGCACCCACAGGCAGCGGTGTGCCACTCCCTGGGACTGGGGGGTCCCCGGGGACACCGCCTGTGCCCCCCAGGTACCGCCTGGCCTCGGTGCCTCACCAGCAAAGTGCCCGTCCGGCAGCGTCGGCACCACGTCCTCCCACAGCCCCTTCAGTGGCACCACCTGTGGGGACATGGAGAGGGCTCAGCCCTGTGCCTGGCATCATGGCACGGCACAGAACGGCTCGGTACAGCATGGCACGGTGTGGTATGGCACGGCATGGTATGGCATGGCATGGTATGGCATGGCAACACATGGTATGGCATGGCATGGCGTGGTATGGCATGGCATGGTATGGCATGGCAACACATGGTATGGCATGGCACAGCATGATATGGCATGGCACGGTGTGGCATGGCACGGTGTGGTATGGCACGGCACAGCATGGCATGGCGTGGTATGGCATGGTGTGGTGTGGTATGGCGCAGTATGGCATGGCACAGCATGGCACGGAGTGATACGGCACAACATGGCACGGTGTGGTATGGCACGGCATGGTATGGCATGGCATGATATGGCATGGTATGGAGTGATATGGCACAGCATGGCATGTTATGGCGTGGTGTGGTGTGATATGGCACAGTCTGGCATGGTGTGGCACAGCACGGCCCTGACCTTGTGCGGCTGCGCCCTGGCCCACTCCTCCAGCCGCCGGAAGACGCCCTCGTTGCACTCCACGATCCAGTGCTCCTCGATATCGAACTCCTCCAGCTTGGTGGCGGCGATGGCCATGCCGAAGCCCACCTCCAGCACGCGGCCGCCTGGGGATGAGAGGGGTCGCTGGGGGGGTCCCGTGCCCTGCTGGGGGGGGGTCCCGCACCTCCCCAGGGACACTGAGCGAGGTGAGCACGTGCAGGGCTCTGCTTTCCCTCCCGCAGCCCTGGCTTGGGTTGTACCCCTCATTTGGAGCCCCCCAGACCCCAAACGCTCCCCTGTCCCCCCCTGAAATCCCCCCAAGCTCATTGCAATGGAAAGAAGCAACCGCTCCCTGCAAAGTGCTGCACCCCCCCCCGCCTCGCTGCCAGAAATGCGGGCAGGTGGTGGCCGGGCCCCCCTCCTCCTCCTCCCCCAAGCTCCCCATCCCCTTTTGGGAATGTGTCACCGCTGACACGAGCTGCACAAGTGCCACCACCATGTGGGGGAGCACCCAAAAAACCCCCCCTGACCCCTTCCCCGTGCAGTTCGCTGCCCCCCGCGGGGTCCCGTTACCCCTGGAGGCGGCCACGGCCGCCAGCGAGTGCATGTAGGGGGTCTCCCAGCGCTCCATCACCGGCTTCCCCAGGATCTCCAGGTGGGCGTCGGGGGCGTCGTAGGCGGCCGTCGCCCCCCGCCAGGCCTGCCGGCAATCCTCGCCATCCGCAAAGATGGGTGCTGCGGCCGGGTGGGCGCTCATGGTCCTGCGGGAGGAAAGTCCAAGGGCTCGGCGGTGCTGGGGGAGGGAGAGGGCTCCGGGCGCTCGGCCGGCTTTAAATAGCCGGGGCTGGGAAAGAGCTGAGTGTGCACGGCGGGCTGGGGCCCCTTTTGGGTGAAAGGGCTGCCTTATCGGGCTGGGAGGGGACAGTGGGGGCCGGGCGAGCGGTGCCCACGTGCGGTTGGGTGGTCCGGGGTGGCTGGAGGGGGACGTGGGGACTGTGCCGTGCACCAGGGCCATGCAATGAGGGTGTGCCATGCACTGGGGTCATGCAATAAAGCTGTGACATGCATGGGGTTTATGCACTGTGTATTGCAATGTGCATCAGGGCTGTGCCGTGCATTGCAACCATGCACCAGGTCTATGCAATGAGGGTGTGCTGAGTACTGGGGCCATGCGCTGGGGCTGTACTGTGCACTGGGGCCTTGCACCAGGGCTGTGCCATGCATTGCAACGTGCACCAAGGCTGTGCCATGTACTGGGGCCATGCAGGAATGCCGTGCCATGCATTGGGGCCGTGCACTGGGGCTGTACCATGCATCGGGGCCGTGCAATAAGGGTGTGCCATGCACTGAGGCCTTGCGCCGGCGCTGTGCCATGCACCGGGCCCATGCAATGAGGGCGTGCTGTGCACTGGGGGCTTGCAACGTGCACCATACGTTGCAACGTGCACCAGGGCTGTGCCCTGCGTTGCAGCCATGCAGTGAGGGTGTGCTGAGCACTGGGGCCTTGCACTGGGGCTGTGCCATGCACCAGGGCCATGCACTGTGTATTGCAATGTGCATTGGGGCTGCACCGTGCATTGCGACCATGCACTAGGGCCTTGAACTGGGGCCGTGCCATGCACTGCAACATGCACCAGGGCTGTGCCGTGCATTGCAACCATGCACCAGGTCCATGCAATGAGGGTGTGCTGTGCACTGGGGCCATGCACCGAAGCCATGCAATAAAACTGTGCCATGCACCAGGGCCATGCACTGTGTATTGCAATGTGCATCAGAGCTGCACCGTGCATTGCAACCATGCACTAGGGCCTTGAACTGAGGCCGGGCCATGCATTGCAACATGCACCAGGGCTGTGCTGTGCACCGGGGCCATGCACTGTGCATTGCAACGTGCACCAGTGCTGTGCCATGCATTGCAACCATGCACCAGGTCCACGCAGTGGGGGTGCGCTGAGCACTGGGGCCATGCACTGAGGCCGCCCCGTGCACCACTCCCTGCTCCGTGCCCGCCACCCGCCCCTAAGCCCCGCCCCCTGCTGCGAGGCCCCGCCCCCTTCCCACAAACCCCGCCCACCCACTCGCCCCTCCCACCTCCACTCACCTCCCTCCCTCCCCTTAGCCCCGCCCCCTCCCTCCCCTTAACCCCGCCCCCTTCCCTCCCCTTAGCCCCGCCCCCCTCCCCTTAGCCCCGCCCCTTTCCCGCCCCTTCCCGGGCGCGGCCCCGGAGACCCCGTAGCGGGGGCAGGTGCGCGCGCAGCGGCCGTTGGCGGCGCTGAGGGAGCGCGCGGCGGGCGGGCGGCGGCGGCGGCGAGCAGGAGGAGGAGGAGGAGAGGAGGGGGGGGCGGGGGGGAGAGGCCGGGCCCGGGGGCGGCCGTTTGCTGCAGCTCCTGGGGGGGGGGGGGAGGGAGGGAGTCAAGGAGAAAGAAGCGGAAAAGAAGCGCAAAAATATAGAGAGAGAGCTATAAAAACAACACAAAAAAAAAACACAAAAAGGAAAAAAAAAAAAAGCGAGGAGCCGAGCGAGCCGCCGGAACCGGGCGCGGCCCCCCCCGGGAGCCGCCGCCATGAACAGCGTGGGAGGCGCCGATGAGATCGGGTGAGAAGGGGGAGATTTGGGGGGGGGGGAGGCTCCGGTTGTGCTCACGGGAAGGCCGCGGCGGGGAGGGGGGGGGAGGAGGAGGAGGAGGAGGAGGAGGAGGAGGAAGGGGGGGGGGGGAGGCTCCGCCCCCCCACCGGGCCCGGCCGCCATGCTGGCCCCGCGCGCACCGGCACGGGCCCGGCCCCGTCACGTGACCCCCCCCGCCGCGGCGGCAGGTGGCGCGGCCCAAGGTCACCGCGCGGCTCCCCGAAAC